CCCTTGTAGCCCGCCACCCCCGCCCCCCATCTCCTTTATAAGCTGGAATAGTGGTTTTTGAGCAAAAATTTTGATTGATTTGTTAGCAGAGATCGATTTAGGGTAATGAGTACTCGGGGCACGGAAATGAGTGGTACTCGGGGCACGGAAATACATGCATTACGAATACCGTTGAGGAAGCGTACGAAGAGGGACAAGTGATGCAGATAGCCAAGGACTAGAGCGTCTCACGTAGCTACTTTTGTTGACCGATTGCGTTTTTGGGCCTTCATATAAGTAAATCGGGTACTGCGCACCGTATTCTCCTAATCGTTAGTTCATAATTTGAAGCTCAGTCTATACATCTAGTAACTTTTCCATCGATTACGATTTTGTGCTTTCCGTATCCACACCATCCCATATATTCGAATTAGTGGCTCAAAGAACAGCTGGATCTGCACCACAGGCGGATCCACAAGGGAAAGGTGGAGGAGGGCGAGGGATACCCTCAACGAAACAGGCACCAGTGCTGCAAAAGCCCGGGTTTATTCATAAATAAAACTAAAGTAACTTTATTCATAAGAAAGTAGCAGTGTTACAACTCTATTCCTGGTTTTTGCATAGTTCCAGCAGTCTGCCCTGAATCCGTTCATGGTCTGTACCAGTAGAAATACATGGTTATGTTAAAAAAGCAAGTGCTTGAATGCGCCAATTTGACATGCAGAAATGTTTATTCGAGTAAATTTGGGCAAAAAAATTCGACAAATAGCGGTAGATTAGAGGTGATTTCACATATTTCGCCGCAGTAATATCACTAATGGGATCCTCACACTGATTGTCCAGGCAATCCCAAATATTCCTCGTACTTTATTCGCAATGATTTTCTGTTTATACTTTCTTATGGGTGATACTATGGGATTATTTTTGCGTTTTTGTGATCCAGGAAAATTTCAGCATTTTTGAAATAACGAACTGAAATCATATATTTTGTGACGAGTTTACGCGTTTTTACTTAATCTTTTCGCTGTATATGTGTGTGTAGTGTTACAGTTCTATTGAGATTTTGGTATTTTTTTAATGTATTTATGCATGAATTAATAGCATACAATGGCATAATCATTTATTGGGTATGCGTGTTTTTCTGATTAACTCAATTCTGGGATGATGAAAGTTGGAAAGCTGGAATTTTAGGAACAAAATTAATCGCTTTAATGGGTATGCTAGTTAGTATTACTGTGATATTGCGGATCGAGGTTTCGATTCCCCCGATGGAGAAACTGACCCTTCTTTCAGCGACTCTCAATAGTACCCGGGGGAGCCATCACCATCATGTTTCCAAGAAGCTTTCGGGGAAAAGATCCATCAACGGCCTTAACATCGGATTGTTATTGTTTTTGTGTTTTACCACGTAAATTACGTCCGCGGGCCTCCACTTTCCCAAAAAATTGAGTTATGTAGGAGATTTGAATTTTTCTTGATTGATCCTGAGCTTCGATTTGTCACGGGATTTGTTATTCATCCCTTAGAACTCTAGATTTCCGTATTCACTGTTTTAAGTTGAACTTCAGCTCGAGCTAATGTCATATTTTTGAGGTCAAAAAAATGCATACTGGGAAATCTTAGCTTGCTGGAATAAAGGGCCGTTTACCGCTTTGGATCTTAACTTGTGTCGTTAAATTCAAATGGGGGCGAGTTTTATAACTGTAAAATCTGGAATGAATAATTAAGAAATCGGAATTTTGCATTTTCGATATACAGACTGATGCGCAGTGGATGATGACCTGTGGTCAGCGTTTTAATTTTGACCTAGTTTGTACTCGTAGTCCGAAATTTCACACTATAACTTCAGATTACGCTAGATTAGACTATAATTCCGGTTACGAATCCGATCGATGCTTTTCATGGAATTGGTCAGAAAAAGTGACCATTCGGAACGAATTTCTGTATTTATAGGGTCAGCCACCCATTTTGTGTCCACAAATTACTATGAAAAACATATGATTGTGCCACTGTGTTACAAATGCATATTGCTTAATTTATTTTCTCGCATACTTTGAAATATTTGGGTCAGCTGGTACTTTCTTGTCTGATTTTCCAACTTTTCAGCTGGCAGCTTGTCCATTTATTTTGACCATTGTGCATCGTCTGATGGTCAGCCTGCTGGCAATCCTGGCCTTAGTTTCATCTCCTGTAGGGCATGTCAGCTTAGTGGTTTTCCCTGACAAAAGTACCTAACAGAGCATTTATCTTAAAGGGGTTTCTTTGGTTTGTTTTGAGGACAGTCGCCTTGTCTTTAACATTTAGGATTTCAAAACAGCTATCCTATTGCTCTTTGACCCATATTTCCCGTATTTTGGCGCAGTTCAGTGTCTTTTGGTTGAATTTATTTTGAGCAAATTTTGAGTTTTCCTCATACTGCACGTTTTTCCTTCCAAATTGGAAAATTTTTGGTAGCATTCTTTAGAAATTTCCACTGAAACAGTATTATTTGTTTTCTTACTTACTATATTTGTATTCGTATGTGTTTAATCGTCTTTTTCCCGCGGTCGAAATCGCGGCTGCTCGGTGGCACATTATGTTCATGTTCATATATTCTGCTAAATGGATTATCATTCATACAGTTTTTGTAGCTTTGCTAAAACTATGCAGGTTACTTTCCACTTGAAATTACTGAATTGTT